ATTGTCATATCATTACTAAATCTGATAATTATTTTCACTGTTTTTGGCCTAAATGTCAATACATAACAACAACTAAACACCAGTTAACTCGACATCAATTAATTCATTCAGAAATCAAACCATTTGTATTTGTATTTGTATTTGTATTTGTATTTGTATTTATTGTTATTTAAAGACGTGGCGCACTCAACTAAGTTGATATTCTGTGCGGACGTCCGAAAAAAATGATACATTAAATAACATATTTAACAATTAAAATTTAAAAAACAATTTTTTAAGATTTAAAGTAAAATTATTATAATTATTATTATTTCTAAAATTAAGATTTAAAGCATTATAAATATTCACTCCATTGTATAAAATAGTATTTCTAAAACTCTGGAGATTACTGTTAGGAAGCATTAGTTCCTGATTTACTGCAGATCTTGTTCTTCGAGTGTTTGGGATGTGATGGTAGAGATCATGACATCGATTGGCATTCAATTTATGCAAACATTTGTATATAAATATCGATGAAAAATAATCCCTTCTCTTCTTAATGAGTATCCAATGAAGTCTTCTGAACAATTGATCCGCTCTTTCATCTGAATGTGTGATCACATGTGCGGCTCTCCTCTGAAGCCTTTCAAGGCGTTCAAAATGTGTATTATATGAGAAGCCATATACACACAAACAGTAGTCCATTATCGGCAATACAAGTGATTTGTATATAATATTTAGTGTATTTTGTGGTAAAACATACCGGAGTCTCGACAATAAGTTCACACGTTTGTTCACTTTATCGCAAACGGTATTAATATGTGATTTAAATGATAGACTTTTATCAAAGATAACTCCGAGTAGTTTTAATTCACTCACATTTTCAATGGCAATATTACCGATACTTATGTTCATATTATGCACATTACGACCGGACAGTGAAATTGTCATTAATTTGGATTTTTGTGTATTTATAGTCAAATGATTTTCAGACATCCATTTGTTGATCAGATTTAAGGATGAGTTAATATTTGTTTCCAATTCTTGATAATCATTTGCTGTAAATATAAGATTGCAATCGTCGGCATATAATATGATGCTTGCATTCAATTGTAGTTTTGTTATATCATTTATATAGAGGGCAAAAAGTAACGTTCCGAGCAAACTGCCCTGGGGAATGCCCATGGTCACTTTCCTACTATTAGATGTATTCTCGCCCTCCTTAACAAATTGATATCTATTAGTTAAATACGATTTAAACCATTGAATAGCGTTTGGATCCAATCCTGATTTAAACAACTTATATATTAAGATATCGTGTGAAATGGTATCAAACGCTTTACTTATGTCTAGAGATACTAAACACACTTTTTTCTTATTATTAACGCCAGAATAGATCTCATTTAACGTACAAATAAGTGCATCACTACACGAGTGGCGAGATCTGAACCCAAACTGGCAATCACTCAATAGATTGTTGTTTTCTACAAAATTAATGAATTGATTGAAAACAACTCTTTCCATGATTTTCGAGAGCAATGGTAATACAGAAATTGGTCTATAGTTTAATGGATCAGTTTTAGGGCCGCCTTTGTATAGAGCTTTAACTGATGCTGTTTTCCAGAGGTTTGGGACACTTTGTTGTAGAAAACTTGCATTAATTAATACAGTTATAACAGTCGTAAGAATTGTTGACAACTTTAACATTTTTGGTGCAATTTTGTCGAATCCAACAGATTTTTTGTTGTTTATATTGTCAACAATTTTTTGTACTTCATTGGAGTCAATGGGACAGAGAGTAAAACAATTATCAGTATTTGGGCTTAAATTTTCAAAAATTAAACTTTTCTCAAATTTTTCACTCAATTTTAGTGGAGTTTCGATGAAATTGTCGTTCAATTTATTAACATTTAGTCCAATTTTTTGAACACATTTTTGTTGAGATCTTTTAGATACCGTCACTTCTGAGATAACGTCCCATAGTTTTGATGAATTATTTTTGCATTCGTTGACTCTCTCTTCATACCAATGTTTTCGCAATGAATTTAATGATATTGTAATGCGATTTCTAACGGATTTATAGTTAGCATACAATTCATTGTCAATAACACCGTTAGCCTTAAGTTTGTTGAAACGGGTTTTCAAATCGCGTTTACTTTTCATTAATAGTCTTACATCTCGATTCAAATACGGTATTTTGTGTGACTTTTTTACTCTACGTTGAGTTAATGGCAAAAATTGCTCCATAATTGCATTAAGTCTTGAATTAAACACAAAAACATTGTTATCAATTGAAATGTTTGAATCGATATCAGACATGAGATTACCGACAGCTAAATCATAGGCTGTTTTGTCAAATTTTTTGTAATCTCTGTATTTAATGATTTTGTGCTTGTGATTTTTTAATCTTTGTGATTTAAATGTTATTTTAAAAATTGCACTAAAAGTTATAAACTACAACCAAATTTAATTAACCATAAAAATAACGCTCATGTAAATATGAGGTTTATTTGTGATTTCAATGAATGCCACAAAAGTTTTACAACAAAACAGTATTTATTTCTCCACAAAAGTTGTGTTCATTTGAATGAAAGGAAATTCAAATGTAATGAAGAAAATTGTGGCAAAAGATTTACTTCAAACCACAAATTAATTCTACACAAACGCAGTCATTCGGGAGAAAAACCATTTATTTGTCATATTATTAATTGCGACAAAACTTTTTCATGTAAAAGTAATTTAAGAAAACACATGAAAAGACATTTGAATATAAAAAGCCATAAATGTAGTCATAATAACTGTAATCAACGCTTTGTTAATTCAAGTGAATTGAAACAACACGTTAAGCTTAAACACATTTAATCAATTGTTTTTAAATTATCAACCAATATTGTTTTTATACTATGTAACATTAGAATTAATTTTTAATTGAATAAATTAATTTTTAAAAATTACAAAGATATAGTTGAAATTATTAAATACTAATGTTATTGATTATTCTTATTAATCATATGTTCGATTGAGTTTATATTATATTAAATAAACAATTTATTATTAAAATTAATAATAATAATAACAATAATAATCGTAATCTTCGGGCGACCGATGCGTAAGATGTGGTCAAAAGTGGTGTCACTTCTGGTGTAGTCTTTGAGAGAAGCGGTGTTTCATGTCTTCCATGACTGCAAACCTCTTCGACCACAAGATCTGTGGATCTGTTCTGTGATAATGAAGTAGACATTGATTGACGTACACGTCATTTACACCATAGTGACATACAATATTAAAAATGTCAAATCAATTCGACCTTGTTTGCAGCAATATAACCGTATAGTAGAGAATAAATGAGAATATCTACACAGAAATAAATGTGTTTTACATAAAAATTACAACAAAGTTAATATCTTACCTCGATAAATGTCAATTCATCAAATACAGCGTAACCTCCGATTGTGAATCCAAACGTACGAGTGTTTCGTACGATTGTCCCAAACATAAGCCACTCGTTGTACTCGTCGTCCGACAAATCGCTGCCATTAATGGTATGTAAAATGCGCTGAAGTTTTGCCGATTTAGTCGACACTAAACCGCATATAAAACACGATATAATTGTCGAAATACTGGCGGATATACTATTAAATGCCATCAGATCTATAAATCTCGAGAGTTCGGGTATTTGTGCCGATAGTGTTATGGTATATATGTTTAACATTACGGCAAATATTGTTCTAATAGTGTTCAATACAAGACAGTAGCGCAACCATCTGTCCAGTACATAGAGTGTGTCCCGTAGTTTAACGTATAATCTTTTATTATAACATATTTTATTGCTAATAATATTGCCTTTAATACGAGTATTTATGTAATCGTGATCTAGTTTAATTTAAATTATTATTATTTATTTAATAAGTTAAAAGATTACTACATACATGATCCAAATTTATTATTTAAGTATCCATTAGTAATTGCAGTTGAATTCGTGCAAATATCATCAATTAAATTAATAGAATAAGCTGATATAACCCAAATAATAGTGTATCGCAGCCATAAATAAAATACCACTATCAAATATAAAAAGCCTTGAATTAGCATATTAATCGTGACAAATTGTATCACTTTTATCAAGGTACTTATAAAAACAGCAATCACAAAAATAATATGCATAACCCATACAAGAAAAACCCACATTACTAGTGATGTAATGCGACTATTAATATACGGCCCAATGTTGGACAAAAAGAGCATGATCATTTCATAGCCTTGTTTATTAATTTGATATAAAATTAATGCCTTTGTAAATACATCAAATATTTGAAGTGCCTCTAATATGAAAGCAATAAATACAGCATTTATGCCAAAAGCAATATTTCTCATCTCGGTAAAGTGAATTAAAGTCACCACATTGCCATATTACGGATATTTAGCATGCATATTTTATCTTGTCTATGAATTATATGGCAATGTGGTGACTTTAATTCACTTTACAGTAAACACCAAAAAATAGATTATGTGTACAATTAATTGTGTTTACTGTAAATTAATGTATTTAGAAACTAGATCTATTTATGAGTTATCTTATTATGAAAATGTACTTTTATAAAATTTATCAATGTGCACAATGCACTTGTAAATTTTTATTTTAAGTCTACATAAACTTTATGAGAAAATACAATGCCGTTATATACTGTATATATTTTGTTAAATGTGATGTTAAATATAATTGTGCCAGATTCTTTCTCTCCCACCCCCTCTTCACTTAACTAACAATAGTTGAGATTAAATGTGATATTTGTTTGCAAATGTTTTGCAATAAAAAAACATTATATTTATTATATTTCAAAACAAATAAATTATGATTATTTGAATAGTTTGCAATTAATATATAATTTAGTAATTTAAATTGGCCAACAATTTAATTGTCATTCATCACATCAAATAAAATAATAATTACAATAAAATTTATTTGTAATTTAAAATTATTTGTAATACAATATAAATTTTATTAAATCTAAATCGTTATGTTATTCCCAAAGTGTGTCAATACTGCCAATGGATTCGCAGTCATCCGAGTCTTCGACCGATTGTGTGATGCCTTCGAGTGCTGTCAACGACTTCTCCTTCTCTCTCAACAATACATTCAATAAATTGTTTGTTATTTTGTTTTGATCTTTGATTTGATCTTTGATTTGATCTCCGATTTCAGTGAATATCTCCTCAATATTAATCTCATCTCTGGTTTTGTCTGAATTAGTGGTCAATTGATTGTAGGATCTGATCGATGAAGAGGTTGACGACAAGTCCTGTTCAACACTCGCGAAACAGCTGTTTAAACATAAAAATACAAATTAATAAATTAATTAAATTTTTTTCATAGAATTGCTATTAAAATCAAACCTAATATTCTGTGCATTGATTTCTTGCGCCAATTGTTTGACATCGGATTCAATGATATGTTTCGATGCCTTTAATGCCGACAACTGTTCACTCAATCCACTGTTTTCTGTCGACATTTTACACAATTTTTGCTTCAATTTATTATTATCTGCAACTATTGTCTGCATTGAATCCATGGCTATCTTGAGCTCTGCTTTAAGTGTCTTCACATCGGATTCAGTTCTCGTCATAAAATCGGGAAACTCTTCACTTAAATAAATCACATTTTCCGATAACACCTCTATATCTGTGACCACTCCTTCATTACTGTAAAAATAATTGGTTTTATATAACAATATGTCTATCAATAAAATGTATCATTTGTTTAATGATTATATCAAACCTTTTATCTAAAGTCGACAACTTTTGCTGTAAATCATTGATCTCTTCAGCCATTGTCTGCATTGAATCCCCAACAGTCCTGATCTGTGCCCTCAATGTCTTCATTTCGCACTCATTACTTGCACTCATGGCTGACATCTCTTCGCTAATAATAAAAGTATTCACAGATATATCACATAAATCTATGACCACTTCTTGATTACTGGGAAATTAATGTGTGTTTCAATAAAATATAGCATTTATTTATATATTATATCAAACCTTTTATCACAAGTTGACAACTTTTGTTTTAAATCATTGATTTCTTGAGCCATTGTCTGCATTGAATCCAATGCTGTGTTGAGCTGTGCTCTCAATGCCTTCACTTCGGACTCATTGCTTGCCTTCAGAGCCGACATCTCTTCACACAATTCACGACACTTTCGGTCCGACTCTTCGCTCAGACTATAGTTTTGAACAAACATTTTATTATTGAGTTCACAAAACAAACTTCCCATTGAAAATCCATACCTCGATGAATGATAATTGCGAATCAGATCACATCTTGGACTAATATAAATATCATAATCAGCTCGTCGGAATATTAATTCATCAGGACACAATATGGCGCTGGAATTGTGACTATGTATATATTGAAGCAAAACCATCTCGGTGTTGGCATTGTATAAACAATTAGCCTGTAGTAAACACTTGAGGTCTTTGATTGTAACCACATGTGATGGTACGGCAACTTTCATTGGCACAACATTGCGATTATCATGATATTTTATATTCAAATATGCATGTTTGCCTGACATTTTAAATAATTTTAATATAATGTTGATCAAATAAAAATAATTTTAATTATTAGTTATGTTGAGTACACTGTTATACACGAGATGTGAGTATATGAGTGGTCAGTGTATATGAAGTGTGTTTTAATAGACAATAATTGGCTGAGATATGCCACTAAAGTAATGGCAACTATTTTGTTAAACATTTATACAAAAGGATTAAGAAATAGATATTAATTAATATCATTGTATTGATTGATAAGGGATTATGAATATGCACATGATAAATATATAGATATGGGACCATGATTAACAGATGTAAAATCATTATAAACTCAATCATATTATTGGGGTTTTGATTCAATATCTCTAATATGATTAACATTTTATCAAATTATAGGAATGTTTATCCCTTTCTATCCATTCGTTTGCATTCAATACCCGTTCAGTCGTTGACAACACTTAACACACAAAACAACAAAAATATTTAATATTTTGTATAAAATTTATAGTAAATTCATTTACAAAATGTGTTCAAAATTCAAAGTATTGTTGATTAAAATGGAGAGTAAATTCAATGCAATGATATTAATTAATATCTATTTCTTAATCCTTTTGTATAAATGTTTAACAAA